TCTCTCTCTCTCTCTCTCTCTCTCCTCTCTCTCCTCTCTCTCTCTCTCTCTCTCTCTCTCTCTCTCTCTCTCTCTCTCTCTCTCTCTCTCTCTCTCTCTTTCTCTCTCTTCTCTCTCTCTCTCCTCTCTCTCTCTCTCTCTCTCTCTCTCTCTCTCTCTCTCTCTCTCTCTCTCTCTCTCTCTCTCTCTCTCTCTCTCTCTCTCTCTCACTCACTCTCTCTCTGGCTCTCTCTGTCTGTAACCTGTTTATCATTTGTTTTGCATTTTATGTTTTATGTATACCAAATCACCATTGTGTTTTATATATATTAGAAAATTGTTTTAAGTATTATGAACTGGAAATTGTTAACAAACGGTGTCGACGTATACCGGCTTATAATACATGTAAAAACAGAAAAACAAATAACTGGAAAAATATACATATATGTCACGAACTATAATAAGTTACACATAAAATACACAGAAATATGCATTTTTGGGGTTATAAAAAGGCATTTGTAGTTGATGGAAACACCTGCTGAAAAACGGAATAGCTGGTCGGTTCGGCATCCAAGGAGTATGGCGAGAGAAGGGAGAAACATCTCAAGATGTTTGTCTTAAAATGGGGAGGAAGGAAGTGTCCTTTAATTTATGAGGGGGAGAAAATGTGTGAAGTTTTTCTTTATCATTTTCTAAATAGGTTGGAGGATATTTTTCATAAACTGTGTTATCTAGTTATTTGTTTTCATTTACGCATTTTCTTTTTGTTTTAGATGTGAAGGATGCTAAAGTATTTTTGCTTTTGTGATATCCAATATGATTTTTTTTTAAATAAGAAATGCAAAGCTTATATCGTGCGTTACGTATGACGCGAGATTGTTCTATATGATAAAGATCCATTGAAAAATATTATGTGAATATCTGACAATTTGGTGAGTTGAAGAACAAATGAAAATGATTGTTGACATAGCGGAAGAAAAGACACACTTACATATAGCACCTGGATCACGTTTAACGAATTTTAATACGGAACATACATTGGCAACTGGAAGAAAAAAGACGTGTTGACATTATGATGCGCAGCACAAAACGCCACGTAACAAAAACTACAGTAGCTTCACGGTACAGGGAAAGGAATGACATCTTGGCACAAACACGCTCACGGCAAAGCAAGACAAAAGGGCGCGTTTCGCAGACACGTCAGACATGAAAGAGAATTGCGTTCATAAAGAGAGCTGAGAAACTTCGAGGATTCGAATGCAGGTGGTTTTGACATCGATATGGAGGGTGAACTATGGTGCAGGCGGGGCATCGATGACTGAGAAGGACGTTTCAACCTACTTGTTAGCGAGAGGAATCTTGGACCAGTCGTAGTCGTCCAGGATCTTGCTGACGGCGTCGCTGATCTCCCCCGAGAAGTTGCCGTCCCGCTCCAT